TCAGAGCTGTTGGTCGACTCATTTGCAGCGTTGTGCGCAGTGACGTCTCGACACTGTTGATACTTCCGTTGTTTGAGCTCGTGCTGTCCAGGTGTGCTACGTGCAAAAGTTAGCGGTTCGTATCTCGGGTTCAGAACGCGTACCTTCAATCGCACTCGTCGCCTCGAGGCTTGACTGCTGGATGGCCTGCGACCCCGCTTGGGACGTACCAAGCGTGGCGTACGCGCCGACGGCGCAGGCGACCATGAAGGTGACGCCGACCGCGGCCGCGACACGGCGCGCCTTGGACGACTTCTTCTTGGGCTTGGCCGCGAGCACGACGCGCGTCGGGCCTGCAAGGAACCGGTTTGTCTCTTCGTTCTCGCTGCCGTACGCTGTTCGCATGATGGCAAATTGAAATCTGAGGCTGTTCTTGCAGGTCGAAGATCGCAAAATCCAGTGGTTTCGCGCCGCCGGTTACGGGACGGGTCGACCCCGCGTTCCACGTGTTCCGGGGAACTGAGCCGCGACACCGTGCAATCCTTTGCAATGCAAATTGGTAGCTTGTTCATATTAACGATCCAGGCGACCGTTTTGGCCTCTTGGCTAGGCCGCCTTCTCTTTCGCCGCAAAGTTATAGGCCAGCGTCCGGCGGGTCGCGTCCTAGTCGTAGATTTTTCATTAAGTTCGACTGCGGTTTCGCGGCTTGCCTCAAATTTGCCCAGCGGGTGGCCGTGCCAGAAGATCGTGTCGTCGCGCCCAATCAAGTACACGTGAGGCACGGTCGAGATTCCGTGGGCAAGCTGGTAGCCCTTGGTGAGCGCGCCCGTCTCGGTCGCAATCCCAAACCGAAAATCTGCCAGCGGCGTGTAATAGCTCGCCTTCGTGCCATGGGCCCCGTAGTTGTCCAGCTCGGTCTTGTCCTCCTGCGTGACCGCCACGAACTTGACTAGGCGAGCGTGAGAGGACGCGAGGCCTGTCTACGTACGTACCTGCGCCGCCGTACTGATCGAATACCTTCTGGAACTCGCGCAGCGCAATGCGCGACGACTTGCACCACGTGCCCTAGCGCATTGTCAGTGCATAAACAGCTATTCAACCGTACGAAGAAGAGGACGGCGATGACTTCGTCTTCGCCCAAGCGCACACGGGCGCCTTGGTAGTACTCAAGCGAGTCGAGATCGTGGGCTAGCATCGCATGAGCCAACGTTAGTCGCATCATGTCCACCTACCAGGCGTGGTTGTCTCGAGGAGACGCACGGTCGGGTCGTGCTCGATGTACGACTTGAGGCGGAGCCGATGGATCAAGACAGAGGCGCCGACGACGCCGACAAAGGCAAAGTCCTTGAGGCTAAAGGCGGCGATCGACCCGACGTAGTTGAGCGTGAGGTAGCCGGCGCAGCTCATGAGCAGGCAGGCTTGGAGCAGCGGCCCGCCGAGCCAGCCCGCAGTCTTGACGATGGAGCGCACTAGCATCCTTCAGCTTTTTGCCTTTTAGTGTGCTATAGGGTAGATACAGTAAATAGTGTTTAAATGCAGTCGTGCGCTCCGATCAGAGCCAGCATCGGGGGCTCAATCCAGACGCGACGGTGGAAGCACCTTATGCGCTAGTTTTGATTTCTATACCCACGGGCAGCGCGATGAAGGCGGACAAGGCAGCATGTAGTCCCTCCCGAGGGAGCCAACACTAAATCGGAAGGGAGGTCTTTCGTAACCGGATTCGATCTTTTATCCGGATTCGCGAACCGTCGCGGCTGCCGATGGCGTACGAGGGCGACGACGACTGCGATGTGCACATGCCGCCAAAAGACTTTGACCTGTGCGACCATGAGGACCGGATCGTGGAAGAGACGCCCATGCTAGGGCTTTCCGAGTATCGCCCAGGTACGACCATGTACGCAAGGTGATGACCACAGCTGATGCCATCATCCTGCAGTCGAGCCGCCGTGGGTCGCTGCTGCGGAGCATGCCAAGACCAAGATGGAAGAGCTGTATATGTACATCCAAACGATTGAGCGAGAGAAGGAAGCACTGGGCCAAGACGTGGCAGAGTGGAAGGAGCGTGAGCTCAAGCAGCGGGCAGACAACGTGGCGTTGACCAAGCGCATCGAAGAGCTCGAGCGCGCGCTCTTCGACGCAAGGCAGCAAAAGGACGTACTATGTCAGCGCGTCTTTGACACGCAGCCAGCCGTGCGGGAGCTAGACGCCGGGCACATCCACGTGCTTAAGAGCCAGATCGAAGCACTGCAGACGTCGCTCGACGACGCCGAGCGAGCGCGGCAGAGCGCTGTGTTTAAGATCAGTGAGCTCTCCATGGGCGGCTCACCCGAAAAGACAACACAAGACGAGTGGATGAAACACTTCAAGCACGACCATGAGCTTCTACTACAACGCGCCAAGCTCAATATGGCGCAGCTACAGGAGCGTCGCGACATTGAGATGGACGTTGCTCTGCGTAAGCTGCGCCTTGAGCACGCTTGTGCGATCGAGAAGCTCAAGTTATCGCACGAAATGACGCTGACCGAGTGGCGCCACGACGAAGCGCGGCGCGGCAAAGAGATCGAAAGTGCCATGGAAGCCGACCGGTGCGCCTCTAGTAGCCCATACTACTGCGACGCCTCATCGCTGCTCGTGTGTACGTAGCCACAGCGCCAGACTCGAAATGAAGCATCATCTCCAGAATGCGCAGATCCACCACCAGGTAGCGATTGGCACGCGTGGACAACGTCTGCTTGTGGACGCACCGCGTCCGGACGACGAGCTTGTCGTCCGACTCGCGCTGGACGGCCTCCGCGCCCGCCGCCTCGACGCCGTCAAGAAGCTGTGCTTGATTCGGCACGCATTCTGGCGCCATCACCTTCTGCGCCGATGGTATCGGTGGCAACATGTCGCTGGCACCGCGAAATGCGTGCGGACCGCGGCGCGACGAACGCTCTCGCGCTGCGTCCAGCGGCGGTCAGAGGAAGCCGCTCGCGCTGCATTTCAAACGTGGCGCTTTGCCGCGTCGAGCGCTGCGCAACAAGGGTTACACACTGCCGTGATGCAGCAAGTGCTCTCAGGCGAGCGTATCCTGCGGTGGGTGGTCGCCAGATGGGTAAGCATAAACGTGGTCGCCGATCGAGTGCCTTTCTTATTCAACGTTGAACTAGCGCCGTCGCGTGCTCGTGGCCTTTTGGACCTGGAAGTCGCACAGCCTCGCAAGGGCCTCCGGCGACAGCGCCGCACTCAAAGCAGAGATCACCAAGCTGCACGACGAGCTCGCCAAGACCAAGGCCGAGACGTGGCGATGCAAGCGGCAGCTGCTCCAGCAATTCAAGCAGTCGGCCATGTAATGCGATAAGTAGTCGGCACCTAGCAAGTGGCAACGTGGGATCGCACTTGCCAGTCACTGCCACCATGGCGCCATGCGCTCGCGCCAGTCGGCATGGGGATGAGCATCGCGGTTGCATCGAAGCGGCATCGTCCGCTTCGCACATGCACGCAGGTTGCGAGCGACACGCCGGTGCTGCATGGAAGCCACGGCGGCAGCGCTGCTTCTCATCGCGTGGGCTCCAAATTTGTCGCACCATTTGCGGCTGCAATGGCAATGCGCCTGTTGATTGGCTGATTTTCGTGCGAGCGATGGAAATGCCTATGATTTGTGGACTTTTGTCCAATAAGCGCGTCGCAGTCGAACCTCCAGCTGCACGATCATTTTTGAAATTGAGTTCCAAGCCGCAAGAAGATCATGGTCTTCTGCGCCCCTAGCAAGTACTTTGGCGCAGGCGACTTCCCGCTCGGGCCGGCCGTCGTCCTCGCCGTGCTCATGACCATGGGCGTCTACGACGGCGCGTCGGCGTACCCGGCGATGCCACTGAGCGCGTTCCCGTGGCCGGCCTTCGAGGCCAAGTACGTCCTTGGCCCAGTGCTCGGCTACGGGTCCTACTCGATCGTGCGCGAGGCGACAGACAAGGAGTCGGGTGTCCGGTCGCTGTCAAGCTCATGGAGAAGGCGGGCATGACGCCAGACGAGATGGCCACCGTGCCCCACGAAGTACACTTTATGCGCCGCATCAACCACCCGCTGTCGCTCCAGCTCCTCGACTTCTTCGAGGACGACGTCTACTTCTACTTGGTCTCGGAGCTCCTCCAAGGTGGCACGCTCTTTGACCGGATCATTACCAAGGACCACTTCTCCGAAGACGGCGCGCGGGCGATCGTGCGCCAGCTCGTGCAAGTCATCGAGTGCTGCCACCAGCGCGGTGTCATCCACGGCGACCTCAAGCCCGAGAACATCCTCATGGTGCACGACCTTAACGAGACGGGTATCAAGGTCGGCGACTACGGCTGCGCATCGACTGTGGCCGACGCGATGGACCCGTCGACAACTCGCTTCTGTGGCACGCTGGCATACGCGGCCCCCGAGATCCATGACGCCAAGCCATACGGGACGCCCGTGGACATTTGGAGCATCGGTGTCATCGCGTTCATTCTGCTCTGCGGCAACTTTCCGTTCAGCGACCCAGAGCCGCTTTTGCTGTCGTACAAGGTAACGACAGGCGACTACACGTTCCACGAGAGCGAGTGGAGTCACGTCTCGGACGAAGCCAAGGAGTTCATCGCGGAGCTTCTCTCAGTGGACCCAGCACGGCGACCGACGGCGACCGCGCTCCTTGCCCACCCGTGGCTACAGCACGCGACCAAGAAGACCACCGAGCACTCGATGGCGGCGCCCGAGATCGTGACGTCGCTCCTCCCGACCCCAACGCAGCGCTATCGCAAGTGCAGCAGCGCGGTGCTGGAAGAGCTCCACATGCTCATCGCAGCCATCTCGGCCCGCGACGCGAGCTGCTAATCCCCGCCACCATCACCTATTTATACTCTAAGAGAAGAAGCTCAGCTCGTATGCATGTGTATCATTCTCGCTCTGGACAGAGTCCCACGCACCCATTGCCATCAAGTGCATTCGACCAAGTAGAGCGTAGTAGCTGCAGCCACGACGAGCAGAACGACGACGACTCAGAACCAGGACGAAGAACGGTTGCCAGAAGGGACGAGCAAAGACACCGAGGGTGACGCCGCTCTCTGCGCAAGGGGCAGCTGCAGTGTGACGCACCGCCGAGCTGGCGATGCACCCGTTCGATTTCGTGGGTTGGCCGTAGTACCAGCCACCCATGTGCAAGGGCGGAGCAACAGCCAATGTGATATTACAAGGCGCCAAACTTTTGCTGCAGCGAGCTGATAAGCTTAGGAACCTTGGAGCCTCTGCGATCAAAAGGTCAGCGGCCGAGAATGTGGGTCGAGGACTGCGTAGAGCTGTATCATACAAGCCTCAACGTGAGGCATCCATGGGCGTGCTTTGCGTGGCTACAGCGTGGCAAGCTGCATAGCAACGTCTACGTCTACGGTATTGTCGACGTTTTATCAATACGCTGTTTTAAACAGCATATCAAACAGTGTTTGGACCTCTTGAAATGAATACTGTTTGTCGATGATGATGTTTCAGAGACCATGGAGGTGATCCAAGCGTCCTTGCCGCAAGCCACGACCTTGGCCGCGTGGCTCATCGCGTACGTCGGTGCATCTCGCTGCGTGCTCATGGCACCGATGATCTAGGCACGTTGGCGACCATGCATGGATGCACGATGCGAGGACGCTCTCGGGCTTTTGCGACTTCCTCTCGACGACCATCGTGGCGCTTGCCACGCCAGCGAGCTCGCTTCAGAAGCCAGCGTGGGCCTCGACGGCGCACTGCACCCACGCCGAGCTCGTCGACCAAGCAATTGGCATCGCGTTGCAGCGTAAGCGAAAGGACTGGAAGAAGCATCCCAACCTCATCACGCTGGGCTTCACGAGCGGCTACGAGAGCGACGCGAACCACTTTACGCTCCACGCGCACAACGTGATGCACCACAGTCCGAATTCGCTTGTGAGCCTCCTCAAGTCCAAGCACTGGGCGCATTTGCATAGTCACCTCGGTAGAGAAGCGTCTTCTGCCCCATGGAGCTGTAGTGGTTGTACTAGGCGACGCGTGCATGCTGCATTTGCTCGTGGACCACGTCCTCTGCGTTCGCATCGACTCTGAAAGCAAGAGCTACATCCAGCTGGCGGGACCACCGCTCCCGCGCCCGATCCCTTTGGCCAAGCAGTGCAGCGTTGTGAGTTTGGCGCCGAGCCTATACCACAAGTCCGACCGGCCGTCCACCGCCAAGACGTTTCCAACGACCCACGCATTGTACCTCGCGCCGCCGCAGACAGCATCCAACGCGAAAGCAACGCGCCTTGTGCAGTCGATCTTTGACCCAACGGCGACCAAACGCTCCCGCCTCCCGCCGCCGCTCCGCGCGTGGGTGCCGTGGATGCAGACCATGCTGCGGAATTTCCAGGGACTCCACGTGGAGAGGACAGTCGCGCGTGCCTGTCCTTTGAGCGAGGCGTGCCGCTTTCGAATGGGACTTTGCTTGGGCCAGCACGACAGTCGCGTCGTTGGTGCCGGCTACGCGAGCCAAGACGACGCATCGTCCGAGTCTGACGGAAGCGACCTCGAAGAGGCCAACGGGCCGCCGCCAAAGCGCCAGAAGCTCGTGCATCAAGTCGAGATACAGGCTCTCTTGCAGTTTGCGACGCCAAAGCAGCAGGTACAGGGCTCGATCCTCTCCAAACTCTGTATTTTGTATCTAGGTGCTCCAGAGTGTTCGTGCTATCATGACGCAAGTTGTGCCCATTGCACTGTGGGGACCGCGGAAAAACTACCAGCGCGTCGTTCGCCTCTTGCACGACTACATCAGTGGGCGGCGCTTCGATACGCACTCGATCGAACAGGTAGCGCCATCCTACGAACTTTGCATCCTACTTGGACCGGCCTGCCTTAGACGGTCCGTCAAATGAGCGTCCAGAGCATCTCGTGGATGGGCGCGTACGTCGACGCTTCGATACTACGAGCGACGGCTCATGTGCGACGCCAATAGCGCAAGCCCACTGCCGACCGAGGTGGTCAAACGACGTCAACGCCTCGTTCAATTCGTGCACTGGGTATGATGACAAGTGGCTTGGCAACGCGGGCTCATGGCCCGTCGCCTAGATGTGGCGCGAGCTCGTCCAGCCGATTGTACGCACCAACTTTTACATGACGACACAGGAAGGCCAGTTCCACGACGTCCTCTACTACCGCCGCCCGCTCTGGGACGCGATTTCGTACGTCCCGCCGTCGTTTCTTGAGAAAAAGTGCCATGTGCCGTAGTGAATTGGCGAGTCGGGATCTGCAGCAGCATTTGCTTCGACCGATTGCGACGCCCTCGACGCCCGTGGCGAGAGTGCGCTTCGTGCCCAAGGCGCGCGGCGTCCGGCCGATCGTCAACCTCTCCAAGCGCCTGCCATGTAAAAAGTCAACCAACGACCTCCTTCGGAACGCACTGCGCGTCTTGAAGCACGAACTCTCGCAGCGCCAGCGCTTGCTTGGCGCGAGCACGACGAGCACGGACGCGATACTGGCCAAGCTCCTGGCCTTCAAGGCGCAGTGGGCCGCGACCGGCCAGCCACCCGTGTACTTTGTGACGCTCGACATTGAGCGCTGCTTCGACACGATGAAGCCGAAGCGACTCCTCCAGCTTCTGCCTTCGCTGCTTACGCAAGAGTCGTATCTCGTCCGGCACCATCGCGTCGTGCGTGGCGACGGCTCGCATGTACGCGTCCCGCGCGTGCCATCCAGTTCTGATGATTTCTTGCTCGGGACGTAGGCGGAGCACCCGGTTGTCGCGGCGGGCGACTATACCCGCTTTGAACACCTCATTATGTCGCAAGGCGTGAAGCACAACACGGTATCCTGACACGTTTAAGCGCACCAGCACGAGGTGGTGTAGGTGTACGTCGACGGTGTCGTGTACGACGTCATCTCGCGCGCCGAGATCCTCTCGCTCCTCAGGACGCACCTGCTCGAGCACGACGTGCGCATCGGCCGCCAGACGTATCGTCAAGTCGAGGTGCTCTTTAAAAGTATTGGATTCGAAGTCCGCATCGCTGTCATGTAGGGGATTCCGCAAGGCTCGGTGCTCTCGTCCCTCCTCTGCAACCTCTACTACGCCGACTTTGAGAAGCAAGTGCTGCACGGCCAAGTGCGCTTGACAAAAAACGACTTGCTCTTGCGCTTCACGGACGACTTTTGCTTCCTCACGACGTCGCGCGCCCATGCCAAGACGTTCCTCGGCCTCATGAGCAAAGGGTCGCGCGCATTTGGGTGCAGCATCAACGCCGCCAAGACGCGCACGAACCTGGACGGACCCGCCGACGCCCTCACGTGGTGTGGCCTTGTCATCGACCCCTCCACGATGCACGTTTACGCCAACTACACCAAGCTGCTGCGCTCGGGCCTCTCTGCGTAGGCGTGTTCTTGGCGTATCGTGGCTCACGGTCGTGCGTAGGCCGGCGCCGCTGGAACTGGCGTTGGCGCTGCCGCGGCACAAGCCGCTCGGTGAATGGTTCACCCGACGCGTCGTCTCGACCAGCATCGACAAGTGCCACGCGCTGTACTTTGGCCGTCGGCTCAACCCCCGTGCGGCCATCGAGGTAGTACAACCTCGGCTCGCGTGGGTTGACGCGCGGTAGGTGAATGCGTACCAGCTGCTGCGGGTCATTGCCGCCAAGACCATGCACCTCACTCGCGCGCTGCGTCTTCGCAACATGCTGTACGTCGCCATGCGTCTCGACGCCGCGTGGACGCTTGTGCACCGCAGAATTCAGCGGGCGACGGGCGGCGACTGCCCGCTCACGCTCTCGGACGTCGGTTCCTCCATGAGCACACGTGGCCATAGGACTCAATGTGCGCTAGATACGCCATATCGGCTTTGCGACCGCCATGGACGCGAGCGCGGCGTGTCCGTATACCTCTGCGCTCACGCCCCTGCTGCAGCGGCGCGCGCGGCGCTTGCCGTCAACGTCGCTCGAGCTCACTGCGCTGCGCACCGACCCGCGCAATGCCTTTGCAACGCGCTTGTAAGCCTTGTGTGTGTGGCACAAGGGAATCCATTGCAGATTCTTTTGGTTATGTGGTTTGGAAGATTTCGTGGTGGCACAGGTCCGATGGGACGTCGCCGGCGTCGTTCACTGCGCTGACCATCCACGGACGCTGGGCCACGAGGAAGGACGCGACGTCGATGCGGCCAAATCGAGCGGCTTCGTGCAGCAACGTCTCGCCGTAAGCGTCTCGATCGTCCGTCGCGAACGCCTCAACGACCGCGGCATGGCCGGCGCGGGCCGCCGCCATGGCGAAGTGGCGCTGGTGGAAGTCGCGCGCGGTGGCCAGCGCCGGGTCAAGCGCGAGGACGGCTCGGAGAAGCTCGAGGTGCCCACATTCGGCCGCGCGGTGCAGTATCGTTTGGTCGCCTGGCCCACGCACATGCAGTGACGTGGCGTCGTGCGCATACAGTGCCATCACCACCTAGTAACGCACCGCATGAGCATCCAGATATGCTGAGGCAAGTGGATGCTACCTCGCTATGGTTGTGGGAGGCTGCAAAGTACGCGGGCGACCAGCGCTTCTTGGACGTGACGCACGGGTCGGCGCCGGCATCGAGCAATTGTTGCAGCACATGGACGTGGCCGAACCGCGCCGCCTGCGACAACGGACTCGTGCCGTCGTTATCGCATCGGTTTGGGTCAGCTAGCTGCGCCAGCAAGAACGCCACCACGGCCGATTGGTTGTAGCCGCAGGCGAAGAAGAGCGGCGTCTTGCCCTTCTCATCGCGCACGTCCACGTCGCCGCCGTCGGCAGCAAACGCTTGGAGCGACGGCAGATCGCCGACCCACGCGGCGCGCCACACATCAAACGGACGCCGCGTCCGGGCGACACACCACTCGAGCTCGCGCGCCGCCGCCCACTCGCTCGTCGCCGGCGTCGTGTCGGTCGTGGACAGCGGTAGCGGCGGCCGCGACCCGGCCTGTTGAAGGACGACGAGGCTGCGAGACCAGTGTGCATTGTCCTTGCCAGTCACCACCTGCGCGATCGTCGCAGTGAGGCGCAGCGTCGTGTTGGCAAGGGCGCTCTCGAGGTAGGCGGTGAGGTCGGCGTCGCCCGCCACGCACACGTAGCAGACGAGGCGGCCTTGGGGGGCCAAGCGGCGCGCGGCCAGCGCAATGAGCGGCTGGAGAAGCTGGTTCTCGAGCACGTCTTCGCCAGCCGCGCCAAACGTGCGGATGTTGTACGGCGGGTCGCACACGATGGCATCGACGTGGAGATTGGGACGCCACATGTCGCGGCGAACGTCGTGGAGGCAGCGCTCGGGCGATGGGAAAGCAAACTCAGCAAAGTTGGCGGCCATGTCGCGACCCGGTCCGTCGCCTTGGAGCGACCGGAAGCTCACGTCGTGGGCGATGCCGAGCCCTACATCGCGGCGTCAATCTACCGTCGTAAAGGACTTGCATGAGGCGGACCAATGCCGAAATGGGCGCAAGCGAGGAGGATGCCGCCCGAGCCCGCGAACGGATCCACGACCCAGTCGCCGGCACGGACCTGCGCGAGGTTGGCCATGACGAGGGCGAGTTCCGGGTCCATGGTTGTGACACCCGTGTACGGCCGCTTGTGCAGCGCGTAATTGGCAGCAAGGCCACTGCCGACGCGACCGCCGTGACCGCCGCTGGTCGGAGAGAGGCCGTGGCCAACGAGGCGACTCAATAGCGCGCGGCCATCGTCTTGGATGAGAACGCAGAGATGGGTGGACGCTGGCAGCGACTGCTCCGATACGAAGCTCTCGACGTCGAACGAGGCGAGGCGGCCCAGCACAGCGCGCTTGTCTTTCGGGCCACGCAGGCGCTTTTTTGGCATCTTGACGTCGACGGTCGTCGCGGGTGGGCGCGCAAAGCAATGCGCTTCAAGCTGCGTCGCGAGCGCCACGACCGACTCCTGGGTCGCGAGGACTTCGTACGCCGCTTGGATCAAGACGCAGCGGGCGACGATGCATTTGGCCATGGCCTACGAGACATGATCTGCATACAAGGCCGTGACAAAGAGCCGCTACCTCGGAGCTAAAGTCGACGCGGAAGAAGCGGGCTTGCAGCGAGGGCTCGTCGTGGATTTGCACTACTCGAGAATGAGAGGTGAGGAGGCGCGCCGCCATACTGCGCTAGCTCACAGTTGGTCTCGCCATAGAGCCCAGCGATAGCGCGCAGCTCTTCGGTGACGAGCTCGAGGTGGCGCCCGAGGGCCAAGCAATGCACCTGCATCGTGTCAAGTTCAACGCTGCGGCAGCCATAATCCGATCCTTTGGATAAACTCAATTTTACAATGCCATTTTGAGAAATCGCAGTGTATACATTTTCGATTATACAAAACTCAATTCCAAATGCAGCAATCAATTGATCCTTTAAGGTACGTATTCCAGATACGTTATCCGTAATTCGGACTGGAAGGCGGATAATATAATAAATGAAGCCCGTTGTACGTGGCGAAACACACGCCGGTCCACAAGACGCAGTGGAATAAAAATACGCGTGGAATTGCGGTTGCCTCAGTACGAATTAGCGGGCATGCGACGCCACTCGTTGTACCAGCAGCGGGTCAAGCTCACGGACAAGTACAAGCTCATCGGGAAGATCGGCGAGGGGACGTATGGCCTCGTGTACAAGGCCGAGCTCCAGGCGCGGGACAGCCGCATGGACGACGACGAGCAGAGCTTCGCCGTCAAGATGATCAAGTCGCACAAGGAGGGCAAGAACGACGTCGTGCTCTCGATCGCGACCGTGCGCGAGATCAAGATCCTGCGCGAGATGCACCATGACAACGTCGTCCACCTCCACGACGTGCATGTTGATCCGCGGGGCACGAGCCTCGCGCTCGTCTTCGACTACGCCGACCACGACCTGCGCGATATCATCATCCAGAGCAAGCAAAAGCCGCTCTCCGAGTACACGAAGAAGTCGTTCATGCACCAGATCCTCAAGGGCGTCAAGTATATGCACGACAACTGGGTCATGCATCGCGATATGAAGCCCCAGAACATCCTCGTCGTCGGCCATGGGCGTCGCCGCGGTCAAGTCAAGCTCGCCGGTACGAAGCGCCTGTCGATGTGCATCTTCCTCATCGATCGCAGATTTTGGCCTCGCGCGGATATACAAGGACCCGATCAAGGCGCTCACGGACGTCGAGCGTGTCGTCGTGACGCTGTGGTACCGCGCGCCCGAGCTCCTTCTCGGCGCCAAGCACTACACGAAAGCCGTCGACATGTGGGCCGTCGGTTGCATCTTTGCCGAGATCCTAAACACGCGCGAGCTCTTTTGCGGCAAAGAGGCCGAGGGCACGAACGCGCCGTTCCAGAAGGACCAGTGCGACAAGATCTTCAAGATCATGGGCATGCCGACGCCGCAGACGTGGGATGGGCTCGAGTGCCTCCCTGAGTACGAAAACATGATGCAGATGTGCAAGGAGCGCGACTACGGCACGACGTCCAAGCTCCACGACTTTGTCAAGTTTGGCACGGGCCATTCATCGGTGCTCTTGCGCGACCTCATCTCGCGCATGCTCCATTACGGTACGCTCGAGATGCGCAGACCATGTGGGTTGATGCTTCCGTCACTGTAGACCCGGAGAAGCGCATCACGGCGGCCGAGGCCCTCACGCACGACTACTTCAAATGCGTACGTTGGTGCTCCGTGGCTGGATACGAGAAAGGACATGTGGTGCTAGGAACCGTACCCGCGCGACTGGGCGCTTGACGAGCCCAACAAGGAGCCCATCGTCTTTCTCAAGCAAAAGATTGAGCCCATCACCGAAGACATGCTCCCCAACCGCAAGTCGCCCGCGCACCACGACGCCAAGGACGACGACGATGGTAGTACAGCTCTTGGAATGGCTAGCACCGCTCATCGCTCTCGTATAGCCCGCCGTGCGATGCGACCCAACGGTCAAGTGCCGCCGGGCATGAAGCGCCCCGAGCCACCAACGGGAATGGCGCCGCCGCCCAACCACGGCGGTCGCCAATGGAGCGGCCCGCCGCCGCCAGGGTACAATGCCAACCCGGTCGCCAAGCGTCCGTCGGGCTCTCTGGCGCCCAACCCGCGCAGTCCCAAACAACGACGTCGATGAACGCAGAGTGTGTATCGATCATAACAACATCCTTCTAAATAATAGTTACTACTTACACGGTCGTGGTGACATCCATCTTGAGGCCGAGGCGGCCCGTGATCTCGCCCATGTGACGGCCGCCGCTTGTGAGGACGGCGTGGAAGTCGACTTTGCGACCGCGGCGGTGCTGGGCCGGGACGACGCCGATGACGCACTGCCCAATGCTGTAGCCCGTCGACGACGACGACTGAAAGTTGAGTGCGAGGTGCATGTGCTTCTTGGGCAAGAGCACCGCCGACTGCTTCACGCCCGTGGCTTCAAACTGCTTGAGCGTTGTCGTTTGGCACGCGCTTCGGACCGCCGGACGGAGGTACCCCGAGTGGAACGTCAGATGCTCGGCGAGCTCGTTCAGCTAAAAGATCAAGTTGTAGGAGACACCAGGCGTCGAGATGACGCGTACCTCACGCGACTCGGCAAAGTCGTCTTCGCTCGGCAGCGGAAAGAGACTGCGGACAACAATCGGCCCTATCACCCGCATGAGTACTTGATCAATCGGGTTATGAATCAAAGTACCTCGATGGGTCTTGGTCGTGGTCGAGGTGCCCATGGATGACGCCCACGTCGTCGACGACATCATGGACGAGTGCGGCAGCGGGCCCAGTGGCGACGCCGTGAGACTCGGCGACTCGTCGTCGTCAAAGTCGGGCGACGGCGGCAACAGCATCGTCTCGAGCGGCGACGCCCACTGGATGTGCACGTTGGAGAGCGACACGGTCCACTTCTTCATCACCATCTACACAACGTGCATGATCGATGTGAGCGCAAGGACAAAAAGAGAGGTTTCGTACGTCGTCGGTGCGCGGCGTCTTCTCGACGGCGACGTGGAAGATGCTCGAGACCGGCTTGTGGTCCGACGTGGTCACGTCTTCGCAGCTACAGTACTTGACGCACCGAATCTTGTCTTGGAGGTCAGGCAGCGAGTGGTACAGGATGCGGTCCGTGTACGACGGCACGCGGAGGCCGCCGTCCGAGAGGATCGTCGTGTAGAGTTCCTGCAAGTCGCGAATGTTGAGCCGCCGGTTCGTGGGCAGCTGCGTGCCCCGCGCCCGTCGGAACGTCGGTGCAAACGTAATCATGGCTTCGGAAAAGCCCGCAAAGGCCGCGCCCGTCTGCAGCGCCGCGACCAGCTCGTCGTGCTGGAGCAGGAGCGTCCAGTTGGCGTCCTTGGCGTACCGGCTGATGGCGCGAACAGGGCTTTTGAATCCGTCGTGCTCCGCGAGCGTCATGTCGTCCAGCAGCACCGTGTCGTTGCCGGGCGACGTCGTCACGCCATACGCCATTCCATCGGAATCGTACTGGTGGTCTACACACCCGCCGTCTTGCTTATCCATGCAAAGCCACGCATCGATCGTACCGCGGGGCGGTTCAAGCATGAGGCGCCGGTTGATGATGGTCACCATGAGCTTCAGCACGTCGTTGGGCGTCGCTTGCTGCGCCGTGAGGCGGTAGTTGAGGTCGCCCATAAAGATCGTGTGGTGCACCATGTGCTGAAAGTCAAACTCGACACCCATCGACTGAAGGTTCATGCTGCGAAGGATGCTCGCCGCGTCCTTGTGCCGCTTCGTCACCTTGCTCTTGCCCTATACACTGCGCGTCAGATACCGATGGCAGATGGCAAGCATGCTACCGAAGAGTCGGACGCCAAGTGACAGCTCGCGACGGCAAATGTCGTGTCGAAGTACCGGAACGCAAAGCCGACCGCGCCCTTGTTGGACGCGCGGCCCATGCCAATGAGGCTTTTGCCGCGGTGGACCTTGGACATGCCGTCGAGAAACATCTCGAAGCGGCCGCACTCGACATCACACGTCGCGACGTAGACCGTAATCGTAATGTAACCCTACTCCCGAGCGCATGAGACACGGCGCCAGCTCCTCCAGCGTCGTACGTGGTAGCCGAGTGTGGTTTGTTTGCTTCCGATCTCTCGCCGATACTCGGTGTAGCGCTGGTTGTTGGCCGCCTCAAGGTGCGTTAGCATCTCGGCCCGCGTCTCGTCCAGCGCCAAGCACTCTTGGAGGCCAATGACGTACACGTCGTGGTCGCGCGGGATCCACGCCGCCTGCGCAACATGAGCACACGTGGAGGGACCGAAGGACGTACCAACGCCGTTCGGGTCGGCACGGCGCCCTCGGCCATGTTGAACGTGGACGCAAAGATCGAGACGCGGTCGCAGACATCGAACGGCGTGTAGAGCGACATGTTGGACTGCGTGTCCTCCATAACGACGCTTGGCGACGCCAGTCCCAGGAACGAGTCGGACGTCGGTCGGGGCTGGCGCTTGCAGCCGAGCGAGAGAAAGCCGCCGAAAATGACGGCGTTGACAAAGCCTTGGAGGCAGATGAGCGCTTGCGCAAAGACGCCAAAGGTCGGTACGATCTTCGTGCAAAAGGTGGGCGCTTTGTAGTACGAAGCGTCGCACGCCGCGTCGCCGACTAGAAACGCTGGCGTGAGTCTCCTTGGAATGACAGGCGTATGTACTTCGGTAGACCGATACGGGGAGGTACAGGACGAGAAAGCTCACCACATAGAGGTACAGCTGACGCTGAATGACCAGAAGCGCCTGCTCCGTCTGCTGGTAGTGCTGTCTACCGTCACAAGGCGGTGATTTTCCGACTCAAATGCGACGTTCGTACCCTGCCGCGCGCTGCCGAATGACGCGACGGACCTTGAGGAGCACGCCAACCATAAAGATGATGGCGGCAAACACAAACGTGTAGAAATGATACAAGGCCGTGTCGGGGTCGGCGATCCAGCAAAAGAACGTGGACGGGCCAAGGAGCGACTGGTTGTCGACGACCGACCCATGGTTGCGGCGCCGGCGGAGACGGTACACGGGCAGCGCAAGCCAGAAGGTCCACCCGAGGCAGAAGAAGGCGGTAGCGAAAAAGTACCACGGGTACCGTCGTCGCATCTTCTCCTGCGTGTCCCGGTAGACGACCCAGCGCAGGAGGTTGAACGCCATGATGGCATTCCAAAGAACGACTAGTCGAGAAGCATGAGACCTCGGATGGCGAAAGCCATGGATACCATGCGTTGAGAGAAAGTCGATGAAGAAGCCTTGGAGCTGGCACGAGACGTACGTCGGCGCGCTCTTCGGGTCAGTCCTGTTCCGAGAGTACGTGAACGCCGTGGCTGGGAACTTGGCGACGGCGGTCCAGAGGTCGACGGCGGCCAGTGTCGCAACGAGCATCGTCGTGATGTCCCGCGCCGCTCCGCTCTTGCGCTGAAAGACCGGTACAAGATATAGGCGCAACCAACGAACGAGAGGGTGCTATGTCGCAATAAGAGCTGAGTGCAGGAAGATCGCCATGGCAGGTTCGCACCATGAGACCTTGATGAGCACGTCGTTGAGGTCGCGCAGGTAAGCCGGCGCCGCAAACTTGCTGTGTTGGTGCGAGCCATTGCGTCCGCGCAGAAAGGCTCCGGACGACCCCGACATGTCGAGAATGGTCAGCGGGACGCCCGAGTACGTATCGCGCCTTGCGCTAGGTTGCAAAAAAGCTGAGCGCACGCCTAATTAGGAGATATTGGTCTTCCAATCATTAATATTTACTGGATAAATGTATGGAGAGCGATCGAAAATACGTCAGGCTGGAACTGCCATGTGCGTGTCAGGACTTGTCCTATCGGAATCAAACGGCAAGGTGTGACAGGCGCGGCTACAAACACGCCATTCTTTCAGTTCCTTCGCACTCACCAAGCACCGCGGAGCCACTACAACGCGCGACGACGATGCATTCCTCCTGTATGCTAATTGTACACCAAGGGCTTCGATAGTTTGATTGTGGACAATAGCAATAGCGTCGTGCTGCACGGGGCGGAACGGCGAGATTGCGTGTTTCTAGCGGCCGTGGCCCGTGACGCTGTCGAGTTTCGTTCCGGTCGGCGCTGCAAAAACGACTAGAAAAGTTCAGCGGCCGAGATGCCAGATCAAGAACGGCGGAGTACTGACCACAAATCACTGTGCCGCGTCTGCACGACGCAGGTGCAGTCGCTATAACGTACGCTTGGTCCTCAGCTCAGTTCAAATGTACACGTAATCCATGCCGAGTTCCTCGGGGATCAGGACGCTGTATCATCGCACCTCGACGCTGCCGTAGCTCGCTGCAGTTCAAATCTGAGATGGATATGCACGTGCAGCATATGCAGCGGTCGGTGGATTCTAATTTTATTGCATCGCCGTCACACCTTGCACAGTACACTCGTCTGGTCGTTTGACGCAGCTCGCAGTAGTTGTGACTGACTGGCAATACATCGGCATTTTGTGTCCAGCTCAAGGTAATAGGCGTGGACAGGTCCTCGACCTCGTCATCGCTCGCCAGTCTGCGGCCAGGATTACACCACAGCCGCGTTCGTCATGATGTTACGCTCGCGATCAGCTCGTCACTCATCTGGGCATGCCGTTTCTGCAAGTTCGTAGGTCGACGCTGATTGGCTAAAATCATAGCTATTTTCTGCCAATGCGCTTTCGCGTAACACTTCAGGCGCTGCGCGATGGAGCTCCCGACGGACGACATCCGCTTCCAGATCGAGCTCGAGTTCATCCAGTGCTTGGCGAGCCCATCGTACCTCAACCGTGCTGCGACGACTGCGTCTACCTAGGCGGAGGCTCATGCTGCGATAGACCTCGCGATCAACCGGTACTTTGAGGACCCGGTCTTCCTCAACTACCTCACGTACTTGAAGTATTGGAAGAAGCCCGAGTACGCCAAGTACATCAAGTACGGACGCGCTCTCCACCTTGGCGCTCATGCGACCCTGTGTAGCTACCCGCATGCGCTCACGTTCCTCGACCTGCTCGACGACGAAAAGTTCCGCCAGGTAGAACGAATGCATGCACATGGCCTCATGCTTAGTACACGCAGATGATCGCGCACGACAGCTTCCGCGACATGGTCCATGCGCAGCAAGGCCTCCATTGGCTTCACTTCCTCAACAACCGGCAGAAGGAGGAGACGGCGCCCGTGGATGCGACGATGGAGTAGGACGAGTGGTCGCGGCCATGATTTTTAATCCGTGGTCAATGCAATTTATTGAGCCACTGTATCCGACTTGAATTTGGCTTCAATAAAAACAACGCCGGCCGCATGATGGACGAGACAGCCACGCCGCAGCCTGGAAGACTGCTACCAGAGGCTCCGACCCCGATGCTGGCCCGCAAGTCGTCGGACCCAACAGGCCTCGTGACGTCGCCGCGGCGCCGACGGGTTCCGCGAAGCAGCAAGCGAGCGCTCTTCTCCCCCGAGACGCCCACCGCGTTGAAGCGCGGCTCGGACCTCGAGATCGAGAATGAGCATGGCCCGGCGCGCAAGACGCCGCGTCGGCTTGTGCTATTCAATAGCGATGAACAAGCAAGTCCTTTGCATCCCAAGTTTGCTCGCTGCAACTCTGCGCCGGTGCTGCACGGCCTCCCATTCACGACGTACGAGCCGATGCTGCCAACGATCCGGTCGTCGCAGCACCCGGACCTGCACGTCATTTCGCCAACCACCGTACGTTGCGCATAGATGTCCGAGCATGGTGGCAATAGCTGGAATACACAGGCGCTCGAGGTATTGCAAGGCGTGCTTCCAGCGTCGCTGCAAGGCGCTCGCTTCTTCGACTGCCGCTTCACGTACGAATACGAGGGCGGGCGTCTTCGAGGCGCCACGTCATTGCCATCGCCAGACGACATTGAACAACACTTTTTCGCGCCGTCGCTCGAGCAATCCACGACGACTGCGCTCATCTTTTACTGCGAGTTTTCAGCCAAACGAGCGCCCGACATGTACGGCTCGGCATCAAGATCGCCGCGTCATCGTGTTAGTAGGATGCGGCACATTCGCCGCCGCGACCGCTGCCTCCATGCCGCCACGTACCCAGAACTTCTGTACCCGGAAATGTACTTGATCGACGGAGGCTACAAGCACTGCTTCGAGTCGACACGGGTATCCATATATCATCTTGTGTTTCGGTGCTCTCACATGCTAGCCAGGCGGCGTGCGACCCGCCCACGTACACGTCGATGAACGACCCTGCGCACGCCGAAAGAGGCAAGGCGGCGATGCAGCTCCTGCGCCAACGCTGGAAGGCCCACCAGTCTCCGGCTAGTAGGTCATCTAGACCCGTAGGATAGCGTCATCGAGTCGCTGTTCTCGTCTGGCGACGCAAAATGTATTACTCCCATTGGCCCCAGTCGTCGCTCGCAGACTTGGCCGCCGGTGCTGGCTCGTTGTCGTCGCCCCAATCGAGCACTTCTTCGTCCGCCAGCACAATCGCTGCTTCCGGTGCCTTCTTCGTTTCGTCGACATCGATCCATTCGTCCGAGTGGTGGGACGTCACCGGCGTCGTCTTGGTCTCTATCACACTACGTTGACGCGGCCAGCTCGGAACGGTCATAGCGGGAACCTGGGGCGAGCTCTGCCGCCGCTGTCGCAGCCGCTACAAGAATCATGACATACTATCGGTTGGCGCCATGACCGTACGCTCTGTCTTCGCCGTGGGGCTCGCAAGCGGCGAGTCGACGTCCCAACCAATCTCTTCTTCGTCCGCGCTCGCGCCCGCCACTACGATATGCTGCATCAGCATTGGAGTTTTCGTCCGATCCGAGCACGAACCCTTTTGCAGCAACTGCGCGCTGCGCTGTTCCTGGGCTGCGAGACGCGACGCCTTGTAGAGATAGTGGCCCCAGAACGCGTCCTCTGAGACTAATTCCGGCACTAGACATGTTCTGTCAGACGTCGGTGGTCCTTCGATGAGTCTACCGAGTTCTTGGCGCTTGGTGTCGATCGTGGGGTAGTGCTCAATGACTTCAGCGCACAGCGCCGCCCAGTCGTCGTCCGAAATGGCCTGTCGCCACTTCTACAGAGCACATCAGGCAAAGGCGGCACTGCAATGCGGACCGTGTAGGCGTCCATGTTGGCCGGCGGCTCGACGTACGTTTCGTCGGCGTTCTGCATCGCCGAGAGACGGAAGCGGCGAGCACTAGAGCCGCAGCGCTACCATGAAAGGACGATCGAGCGGTCGCCTACCTCGCGGCTTCGTCGAGTGGCTCGTCATGTGTGTCGTTAGCTTCGTCGCCGGCAAAGCCGCCGATAAACTCATCCGCACTACAGAGACAGGTGACGCATGCGCTGCAGGCGTTGTTCTACCTTGTAAGAAGCTTGGAGCCAACGGACTCGAGCGTGGCCCCAAACGCAAAGAGCGACGCGGTCACCGAAGCTTGGAGCTCGCGTGCTTTGCTGCTGTCCGCTGGAGCCGCCTCGTCCGTCGCTTCAGCGGCAGGCTTCGACTCCATCGTTTCCTCAACCTTCTTCTTGACATGCTTGGCCACCTCAGCGACGTCCTAGGCGCAGTAGATATAGGCCAGAGCGGTTGCGGCCTGTACGTACGCCTTGGACGGTTGTTGAAAACTCCTGGAGGTCCGAGCTCAAGGTCGAGATGGCCTTGGCCGACTACGTCGTTGATGCGTTAGCCTCGACCTGCTAGCGTGTAGCGTCTACCTTGTCCTTGACCGCAGAGACGAGCGAGTAGAAGCTGTACGATGCCATGCTTGCGTCGCTTCTCGCCAAAAGTGAAAGAGAATACTTTCCGATGCCGCAACCGTCTTTGTCTAGCTAATTGCACGCAACCATAACCCACACAGTTCTGAGGCAGGTTCTAAGGGTGCGCTTTTAGGCGAGCAGACAAGGCATACGAATGCAACGAGCAACTTTTCGCCATTCGAACAAATGGTGAGCCAATGTGTATGCTCGGTGAGGGCGTAGAGAAGACTTGGGACCATGCGTGCCACGGTGACTCTGTCCTACATACAAAGATACATATTGACTTGCGTGCGAATAGCCAGGTGACGTCGCCCTAAAGCGGCAACGAAATATTAATTGATGGGTCCGCCGAAGGGGATCATGGCACCGCTGCCGCCGAGCCTCCCCGTGCTCCTCACCGTCAAGGCCGGGCAGCGCGACAAGAGCCGCAAAACCGTTGCGACGTACGAGTTTGAGCACGTCCTCGAGGAGGGCTTCAACGTGCTCTTCTCCAAGGCGGCCAACTACCTGGACCGCGCCGTCGTGACGCACAACGAGAGCCCCAACCCGCCGCCGCAGGGTAAAGCCAAGCTCGTCAAGATCCCGAGCGTCGTCAAGGTGTTTCTGAAAACGAGCACGAACGCGACGCAGAAAGAGTACGTCTGCATCGAGGTCGGCAACTACATGGCGGCGATCACGTCCGCGTGGAACAACGCGTCGGTTCGTCGCGGCGGCCAAACAGCATACAAGCTCGAGCTCTTCGTCTACCTCAAGCGAAGAGACGGCGGCGACATCGATGGTCTCGAGGGCATGCCAAAGGCCGAGCCTGCGCGCCTCGTCCAGGTACCTTCCACCTCGACGTACGACGCGCAGGCGACGTTCGCCGAGGCGCCCATGGTGCCGGTGCTCTTGCCGAGCGACGTGCGGCCGACGTCGGCGCCCGTGCGACCGAGCAGCGTGTCGGTGTATCGTCCGCTGGACTTTTTGATCAACGGGCAGGTTGTGCCCATGCTCGTCAACGTCGAGCAGCTCCGGAGCTTGCTCGCCGAGCCGCCGCAGCCGCAGTAGACACGAGGACTTGGTTATATTCATTCAAAACTACTAGTACTGGAGCGACTTTCGCAGCTCCGACTTGAGCTGCTGCAGCGGATTGTTCGTCTTCCCGTAGTTTGCGCTGGGAGGCTGCGCAAGGCGGGTCGGCGGCGGCGGGAGGAGACCCCCGGACGCCGGCGGATACGACGGCGGCGCGTAAGACGACTGCGGTTGGTACGACGCCGTCTGCTGCCACTGCACCGGGGGTGCCGACGGGCGATACCCGAACGGCGCCGGGCGACCATACCCGTCGCGGGGCGCCTCGGCGAAGCACGGCGGTGCGTCGCCAAAGATCGGTTCGCGCTTCTTGTCCTCGACGAGCTCCCGCTTGAGTTCGCCGTAGCCGCCGCGTGGCTTGGGGGCCTGGTACCCTCCGTTGCTTTCATGGACCTTGGGGTCCCCATGGTACCCGCGGTACGATGACGACGACGAAGGCGATGCTCCGTAGCCAGACGCGCTCGGTGGCGCATACGACGAGTACGGCTACGGCAAGAGAATCACGAGGCGTCCCGCAGTCGATGCATCCTCGTACCTTTGGAGCGGGCGGACCACCTTGGTGCGGCGATGTCTCGGACTTGCCACCATAGTCGCGCTGGCCGTACCGAGACGCGACAGACACTGGAGGCGGGCGCTGATGGTTGATGTGGTTGTTTACATGGTTGTGCTGACTGGATAGCACCGAGGACGACGGCGCGTTGCTACGGTAGGCATCGGTACGCGGCGGAGCATTCGGCCGCGGTTGGAACCGGCCATTGGTGCTCGGGCTCGGAAGAATGCTGTTGCTACTCGTCGGTTGCGTCGTGGGCGTTCCGAGAAGCCCTGTAGAGGTCAGCGGCACGACGGGCTTGGGCTTGTGGGCCGACGACGTCTTGAGCACGACCGTCTCGTGGTGCTGGACCATCTCATAGTAGGTCGCAACTTTCGGATTTAGCACTTTGAGAAGCGCTTGAGCGGCGTACTGCTTGGCGAGCTTCTTGTTCGGAGCGACCGCCTAACGAGACGACGTCACGGACGCGGCAGAGGACGCAAGCGAGCTACCTCGGCCGAGTGCTTGCCATTGGACGCGACGACCTTGAACTTGTTGCGGTCCGTCGCAAACGGGACGTTGAAATGCGTGTAGTTGATCGCGATACCCTTGTTGCGCGTCGCATACTCGGAGAGAAGCTGCGCCGGCGTCTTGACGCTGAGGTCCATGCAGCCTTGGAGCACGAGCGGGTCGTCGATCAATAAGCTCTCAAAACGGCTTAGCGTCTACCACGAGGTATGAGTCATGCGTTGGCAAGCCTGCGTACAAAGGTGGGCGCCGCCGAGAGCTCTGCGGCCATCGTGTCGACTTCGTGTGTCGCACCGCCGCTTTTGAGCGTACGCCAGTAGCCCGGCACGAGCGTCTCGAGCGCAGCTTCGGCTGCCTTCTGTCGCGCAAGCTGCTTGGAGGACGCGTCGGCAAGACCGTACTCTTGCCCCGAGATCGTCACGCTGCACCGGAACGGCGCGTCGCTGTCTGCAAACAAATCAGGCCGCGCTACGAGACGGGCCACGTACGATTCGAGTTGGTCTGCTCGTACTCTGGGATGGCATCCACCCAGTTCTTGGCATAGTCCTACACACGTGATGTCACGCTCGGAATCACGTGTCGTCGTCTTCGTACGAGCAGGAACGCCATCGCTGTCTTCCCCGTCGGCTCGTCGACGGTGACGCCGTTGAGAACGATCTTGGGCCGACCGCCTTTGGCGTCTTGCTTTGTCGGGCGGCGCGGTGGCGACGGCGTCGACGCACCATTCTGGTGGGCGGCCTTGAGCCTCTTGCGCGGGTCCAAACTCGGCTACGCGGTGGCACATGAGGCGGCGACGCAAAGGCGCATGAGAACCTGAACCTGCTCGGTCGGAGTCGGAGTCGGAGTTGGAGTCGGAGTTGGCTCACGGTCGCCAAGTACCGCCTTGCTGAGGCGCCGGATGATAGCTACGCGGGATAATGAAGGCTAGGTAGGACGCTCGGCGCCGTCGTACCGTCGGCTTGGACCATCTTCACCGGGCGATTGCGGTCTGGATGGCGCATGCCGCAGCCGGACGCAAAGATCTCGAGTGGAGGCACGTGTGTCGCCGCGGCTGCGCTAATGCTGGCCGAGTCGTGCAGCTCGACGACGTACGGCTCGGTCCACGTAACGACACCAGAGGCTTCGTGCAGGAAGCAGGTGAGGCCGGATCGGTGCAGAACCTTCTGCCATCCCTCCGGTAGCGGCTTATCTGCGTACGTCGTTGACTCGACGACCGTCGAGTCCTCGGTAGCCAGCTCGTCGAGCGGGCGCTTGGTCATCAGCTCACCGCCACTGCGAAATCAAGCCTCAACCATGCCACTATCCGGATACAGCCACTATGTGTCCGGTAAAACAATGGCGTTTAAACTGGTCTCTACTGGGTTAAACGCGCAGCCAGTGGGTCGCTTGCCCTCACACTCGAGAGAAAGTGCATCATTCCTTGGCGTGATTTTGTGGCCCAAGAATCGTCCAGGGCAAAGAAGGGTGCTTGGAGAACAACTATTGCTATGCTCCAATGCTACAGTACCGGTACGTAGATCTACCAGTGGTAAAGCGAGTACCAGTAAATCCACAAGATAACAAGCCTCCAAGCTTGTTGAAAATAACCTTATTATCAAGCATCCAGAGAGAGAGTGATACCGGTACCGGTACCTCAATTCCTTCGATTGGCTTCACTTCTCGTACCATAATTAGGCAGGACTATCGTTCCGGACGGTGCTTTCGAAGTGGTGTTCTCTTGGGCGAGCGTATATCGTTGACCATCATTTATCTGCTCGTGCCTGATCCGGGCCTTCCATACCCTCGTGCTACCAGCCTTGGGCCGTGGAGTATCATGAGGTGAGGTCCAAAGGCAAACTCGTGTACGGCGAATGACGTGGCGGGCCCACGGAGCGCGTGTCGACTCGAAAAACGCGTTTTCGGGTGGTGTTTAAACGCGCGTTCGAATTCGGAATCTTATGCGGCTTGGTCGCAACGGGATTGGCCAAAAAGCCGACTTATTTTCTGCCGAAACCCCATTCCTAAAGAAGCCCGATGCCCATTACGACGCTCAAGCTCCTGCACAAGGAGGCGCAGGACATGCGCCGGGTCAAGGTCGCCGACCTCCGCGATATGGTCGGCCGCGCCTCCTCGACGGACCTCTTCACCTTCGGCGAGCTCCAGAAGTACGCGCTGGACATTGCTTTCCCAGCGCTGCAGCACGCCGAAGTCTTCTTCTACTACCTCGACGACGAAGGCGAGCAAGTGCGCATCACGAACGACGCCGAGCTCAAGGAAGGTATCCGCCTCATGGAGACGGAAGGCGACATCTTCAAGATGGTCGTCTCGGGTAAGCGCCAAGTCGTCGACCAAGATGCCACTGTCTCGTTCGACTCGGAGTGCTCGATGGCCCTCTTTGTCGACTTGAGCCGCCTCCTCGACAAGTGGGAGTGCTCAAACGACCAAGTGCCCATGAAGAAGGACATGACGACGCTATTGCATGTACCAGGCGTGCAGGGTGCCATGATTGACATGTTGGCTGATGCCAAGGTACGCAGCAACACGTGCACTGCCCGCCCTGTAGTCATGCATGGTGTAGTACGCGTCGTACTTTGAGAACGTGTCGACGGTCATCAAGGAAGGAGGGTCGGTCGTTGAAGGCGTTGCCTCGATGTTTGCCGGTGGCCAGCTTCAAGACATGGCTACGGCCCTCATGGAGAAGTGCCCGGACATCAAGGACCTCCTCGAAAGCATCATGCATGCGATCCAGGTGCAAGTGCACGCGCACCAGCAAGCAAAGCATGCATCGAGTGTCTCGCAGACGCTGCCGCCTCTTCCCGAAGATCCATCGCTCGTCCACCAGCTCTTGGAGTTTGTCACGGGCAAGTTTTTCACGGATTTATGGTCGCTCTCGAGCGATCAGGCCGGCGAAGTCATGTTCAACTGCGGCGTCAGCAGCGAGCAGATCCAGGCGCTCTCGCGCGAGAGTCGCATCCGCTGGATCGCAGAGACCATCATCCACATCCAGGCGATGAACCAAGCGCGGAAGGAGCAGAAGGAGCTTGCCGAGAAGGCTGCGCAGGAAGCAGCGCTCTCGAGCAGCAACCACGGCATCATGGACGCGGACGACGTCGACTCGAAGCCATCGGTGGCCTTTATGGGCGACGTGAGCTTCCCGACGGCTCGACCGTGCGCGCCGGCGACTCGTTTGTCAAGACGTGGCGTCTTAAGAACGATGGCGAGACGGTATGCGATGCAACCTCGACCCGTGGCATCTATTGACGTGGGTGACTAGCGCTGGCCGGCTAAGACGGAGCTCGTGTGCGTCGGTGGGGACCACTTGCAGACTGAGTCGGGTCCGATCTCAATTCCGATCTTGCCGCCCGGCAAGATGATTGATGTTTCGGTCGACATGCAGGCGCCGTCCAAGCCCGGTAGGACTCGAAACTTTTTTTCGTGGTTCTCATCAGAGTGTGTAGCGCGCTACACGGGGTACTGGCGCCTCTCAACGGCCGACGGCAAGCGCTTTGGGCAGCGGTTCTGGATTGACATTTTGGTCGTTGGCAACAAGACGACGACCCACGACGTGAAGCCCGCGGCCTCGAATGAGGTCGTGCTCCCTGCGGCGGCTCCGCAGGTTGTCGCTGCGGCGGCGCCCCAAACCGTTTTTGCGGTGGCGCCGCCCCAGGTGGCTGTGGCGGCCCCCGGAGTCGTGTCGCAAGCGCCTCTGGCCCCAGTGGTTGTGCCGGCGCCGGCCGTGCAAGCGACGCCGTTTGCGAAGGAACTCGAAGCCTTGGAAAGCATGGGCTTTTCGGACCGCGCGACCAACACGCGGCTCCTTTCGCAGTACAATGGAGACGTGTCGATGGCGCTGAACCACCTTCTCAACTAGGACTCTTCACCGTGCATGTATAACCCTCTTCGCTAATTAAAATGCCAAAAATTGACGCCTTGGACAAGCCCAAGCGACTGGATGTTGGCTTCGAGCTCGCCGTCCGTGCGGCCCATGGACACGCAGCAGATGATGGGGGCTTGGCCTCGGAGAAGTGGATGATGGGCACGTGCTTCTTGGTCTCGCGGCAGTAGTATGTCGAGCCGATCTTCTTGACGTTGACGTCGCAGAACGCTGCGACCTTTCTAGCGCCAAGCAGAATATGGTTACAGAGTGGACAATGGCAGCACCGTACTGTTTGCCCTCGGTCGAGAGGTCGACAAAGAAGTTCTTGCCGTCGCGGCCGCAGCCCCAGATCGTAAACGAGTCCCACTGGCTGAGCACTCTGCGTTCGAGGGACGCGAGGCGCGTGCGGAGGAGGACCCGGCGCGGCAGTTTGCTGCAGACGGACCCGCTCGAGTGCCGGTAGATGACGAGCTCGTCCGACGCCTTGTCGAGCGAGCCGCCCATTTCGAGGTGCTTGAGGAAGAAGATCAAGTCTTCGGGGATCGTGACGCCTTCGGGGGCTTCGTCAAAGCCGCCCACCGCCAGAAAGCGCTCGCGGCGCATGAACCACGTTGGCATGATGATCGTGCACTCGCTAATTCACGCTATGGTTGGATGCTTGCACGTCGCAGGCAAACAAGTACCGGTACTGCTGGAGCACGAGCTGCTCCTTTGTGAGGCTGTTGGCCCACGCCGTGTAGTGCCACGTGGAGCCTTCCGGAATGCGCCGAAAGTTGGCGCCGACAATAACGTTCGGGTCGTCTTGCGCCATCTTGCTACGAGGCTGTTATGAGCGCTGTGCCATCCAAGAAGTGGGGATCGTACAGCTGGACGGCGACGCGTTCGGGCACGACCATGTCGTCCGAGTCGAGGAAGGCGAGGTAGGTGCCCGTGCAGACGTCGGCCGCGCGGTTCTTGGCGTAGCCGGCGCCGCCTGGCGTGGCCTTCTTCTGCTGCACCACATGAAGCGGAATGTCTGCCGCGGCGCACTTGGGCACCCATGTGTGGAGCTTGGCAAGCGTGTCGTCCGAGGACGCGTCGTCATAGACTGCAATCTCAAGCGGCCGGTACGTGGAGCTGCAGATGGACTCGAGGCAGTCGTCAATGGTCGCCGACGCATTGTGCGCAGGGATCACAAAGGACACGAGCGGCGCGTCCTCGGTCTTGAGCCGCTTCGCCGCTGGTTCAATCTCGCTGCCTGTCGCCGCCATGCCGTTTGATTGGATGCATTGTCGAAGGTTGGCCACGACATATGGACCAATCGCTGTTGTTGCAAGGGCGAGTGGCGCGTTTGATTGGGTAGAATATCATGTATTTCGATTGGGCAAAATCGATCGAATTATACGCCAATCATATGGTCCGTTTGTCGAAAGTTCGAGTGACTTGAGCTTTCTATTCGATCCTAGATCTCACTTTGTCGGGTTAACGGGGGATGCGACGCTGGGCGACCGTCGTGCTGCTCCTGACCGCGCTGTACGCGGCCGACTGCGCTTCTCCAGACGTGGCGCTGCAACATCCGCCCGATGTACGTGCACTGCTCGCCGAGCGGAATGCGACCGCGTCTGCAATGACCAACGCCACGACGAGCAAGGCGACGACGATCGCGCCGGCAACGATCATGGCCACGACCATCAAGGCTGCCAATCTCGCTACAACCGCAAAGAAGACGACGACACAGTGGTGCGTTGACGGCGGCTTCACGTTTGACCTCAACTTTGCAAAAGCCTTTGCCGACATCCCTGCATTCGGCAACTACTTTGTGAGTCAATGGAGCGCGAGCTTGCCATCCCAATACGAGGTCCAGTTCCGCGATCTCGCCCCGTCACCCCGCGACAATACCAAGCCGTTTGTTATCTTCTCGGTCTGCGCACCGGCCACGACCTCCAGCGAGCAGTGGCTCGTGTCCGTTCAAAAGCACATTCCGGTCCTCTACACCGTCGTCGCGCTGCCGCTCAGCGCCGACCAGGACGAGGCCATTGGTCGTTTGCGCGTATACCATCGATCCGCGAAAACTGCGCCTGCTTCCATCGACTTGACACCGGTTCGTTCGGTGGTTGCTCTCGTGTCGCCAGCGTCCAACGGCGTTCCGTCCTTCGAGTCGACGCTGATCGCGCACAACTCTGGTGGCACGCCCGCGACGGTGTACGCGATTGTGTGCTATGACATGCGCGACTGGCGCGACACTGCGATCGCGCTGCCCGAGCCGATCGTGCTCCAGCCCAAGCACAAGGCGTCGCTCACGTTCCGAGGCCCCCTGATCCCCAACGCCGGTGTCAACCCGAATCTCGTGGCATCCGACCTGCTCATTTCATTGCACTTGGTTCAGAGCTCTGGCTCGTCGGTCGAAACTACAGTCACGGCTGCGTTGGATGCACCCGAAACGATGAATGAAGCAACGCTGCCGCCGACAAGTGCACCCGACGCGAAGCACGGCAAGGACGCGCTCGTGGCCCTCGATGCGCAGCCAAAGGCCGCGGACGAAGACGAGTTTGCGCGCGTGCGGAACCGTCTCCACAGCCAAGGTGTCATTGCCAACAGCGCGTTTCCGTCGTCGACCTTTAAAGGTACGACATGAGCGAATCTGTCAGGATGACATGATGCGAGTAGCCATCTCGGCGTGCCTCGTGCTTGGCGTGGTTGTTTACACGTCTTACTTTGCCTACGCGCGTCTCCGCAACCGGTCGATGGCCTGGACGCAGCTCGTGGGCCGCAAGAAGCAAAAGGCGCAGTACCCGAACGACAACATTCAAGACTCTGCCCTCGATGAGTTTGACGACCACTTTGAAGAAGACGACGGGCTGCTCTCGCCGACAACTGCGCCCAAGCCGCCGCCTGTCCTTACCCAGGAGACCGACCCGCAGCACGTATGGGGGCAGCAGCCAGCGCGCGTCGTGTCACCGGTCCACCGAGAGCCGTTGTTTCCGGCAACGACGCCCACGAAGCGTGCGACCACCAGTGCTGTCGTGCCCGAGCCCCTTGAGCTTGACCCTTCCATCCGCATTCATCCCAAGCGGTTCGAGTCGCTATGGGGCGAGTACATGGAGCGGTACGGTCCCTTTCGTACCCATTATGCTTGATGACTCCCATTTAGAGCGAAATGGCAGCGGGCAATTTCGCTGCGGCCAGACGCCAACGCCGTCATGACGCGCTTCTACGACATGGGGCTCGTGTGCATGGCCAGCGGCTCGGTCCAGCTCACAGACAAATATTTATTCTACGCGGCCGAGGTACGCTTGCGTCGCCTGCACGGGGACTGACGTCACGTAGCCGTCGGCCCCCGACGCTTTCTACTTTTGTGACGTTGCGATCCAATTCATCTCGCTCGAAGTCGACATCTCGGTGCGCACGCCGCGCGAAACGTCCACGGCCAAGATGCATGCGTTTGTACAGCGCGTCAAGATGGCACTCGACGACCTCGACGCCGGCGCGTCTCTGCCCACACCTGCGCCGGGTGACTGAGCATCGATAGGTCATGCATGATACTACAGCACGGCGGCGCCGTGGTCGGGTAAACAAGCAACATGACCGCGACTGTCCATTCTCGACCCTTCTTGCCATCGTTGGTGTCGCACGAGCGCGAGAAGCACGCATTTGCACCCAGAACGTCCGAGGATGACCACGCCAAGCAGCCACCGTCAGTCGGCACAGTAGCACCTTGGACGCACATGAATTCTTCTCTGGTCATCATCACTCGCCCAGTCTGTGCCATCACCCGAGCAGCCACCCGCCTGCCGCAAGGCCACGCGCCTCCGGTCAGCAGACGCGTCCATGGTCATTGTACCCATGACTTCATGCAGAAGGCTCATGCTCGTCGTCCTCCTCGCGGTCGCGTCCTCGGCGGCGGCGAGAGTAGGACGAGTGCGACATGGCCGCAAGCGGACCTTATTGGGCCCTTGGTTTGAGTGGTGAGGAAAGAAAAGAAAAAGAAAGGGAGAGCCATGCGGGGTAGGGCTGGCCGCTGAGAACATCGACTTTCACAGTTAAAACACGTTTAACGCCCAGCGTTGCCGGCCAAACCCGCTGGATACCTCGTGCGATGCGTGCTCTAAAACGCGTTTTAACGAGCCCCGAGCGTGACGAGGCGGGCTGATAATACGTGCCCCCAGCGCGACAATACCCGTGCGTTTGTCACATAACGCGATGCGTCGCTGCGTATTTACGCTCGGAGGTATCGGATCTGAGAGGTTTTGGCCAATCGGAGCCAATAAAAAAGACTTTGCGGGCGGTGGCGAGCGGTTTTTATTGCGTTTTTCATGCCCCCGACCCTGGCTTTCAATGCCACGACACAGGATGAGAATACAACAATCAAGATGTAGAGGCCGGTGCAACAATAAAATGAGGGCAGAAGGTAGAATAAAACGACGCGAGTTTTATTGGACGTCAAACTGCTGGAGCCTACCGCGTTCATTTCGCAGGATACCAGCGCTATCTAAAGCCATCATTTCCGCTATTGCCGTCGACACCGTCTTGGCCGAATATGCAGCATCACCAGAGCACACCCGAGGAAGACGACCGCGCCCGCGCCATCGTCCAGACGCTCTCCGCGGTGCTAGAGTCCATGGTCCAGTCGGCCGATGCGATTCCCGCCGGCTACATGCGCCGGACCAAATTCGAAGCCTTCCGCGCGCCGCAGATCTCGATATTGGACTACCTCTTGCGCATCCAGACGTACGCGGCCTGTAGCCCCGAGTGCTTTGTGCTAGCGCTCATCTACATTGACCGCCTGCACCAGATGCAGGGCTTCGTCATGACCGAGCTCAATGTGCACCGCGTCATCATCACGGCGATCGTGCTCGCGGCCAAGTTCTTTGACGACCAGTACTTCAACAACGCGTACTACGCCAAGGTCGGCGGCGTGCCCGGCTCCGAGATGAACGAGCTCGAAGTCGAGTTCCTTCTCTTGACCAACTTTAGCCTCCACGTGACGTCCGAGGCGTACTCGCGCTACTACAACGAGCTCGCCAACCACTACATCTTTTCGCGCACGCAAGGCGGCGAGGTCAAGCACTGCGTCCGGCCCGACCCGGCCCAAGGCGGCCAGCTCGTCTACGTAACCGACGTGGTGCGCTCGTTCGACGACACGGACATGACCTACTGCGACCCGCAGTTTTCATCCACCGCGAGCTCGAGCAGCCTTGGCTCCAGCTACGGCTCGACGAACGGCTCGACGACGTCGTATGGCATTGCGAGCGCCACCAACTGCAAGAAGCGGACGCGCGCGCCTTCCAACCCGAAGCGACGCAACGTCTTCCCCCTCGGCGTCAACGCCTAAGCGACTCTTCCGTCGCCTGTACCACTAGCCTCCACCTCCGTAGATAAGATAGGATTCCTTAGATTATAATATTTTATTGCAGCGCGCACGCGATCCTCGAGGACCCCGTCATTGCGGCCTCGAGGCGCGTTGCGCAGTTGCTTCTTCTTCGATCCTTGTTCGCGGTGCGACGCTGGCATCGACAGTACCAGCCCTCGGGCGAACAGTCCCTTGGGCTTGTCCACTACAAAAGGAGAGCATGTGACGGTGCCGATGGCGCTTCCCAGTGGGTCGGACAGCAAACACTCGAGCATCATTGATTACGGACTACACTATTACTTGCGGCGCCAAAAGGTACCGTCCGAGACACCCCACTGAAACTTGCGGTCGTGCTCGCGGATCAAGAACGGGTATTGCGTGCGCTCCACGAGCTCAAACGACGTGCTGAGGATGCGCTCGAGCTCGGCGAACGAGTCGCCTGCCTCTGGCGTCGCACCGATCCAGTGTTCCTTGGGTGTGTACTCTTCGAGCCACGAGTATGGGCTCACGAGCGCGAGGATGCCGTCCTTCTTGATGAGAGACGGGAGGCGGTCGAGGAAGAGACGCGGGCGAGGCACACGGCAGAGCAAATTGGACGCAAAGACGCAGTCAAAGGTGCCGAGGTGCGCGCCGAGGTCGCACGCGTCGCCTTGCTCAAAGTGGACTTTGGTCCGGTCGATGCCCGCGGGCACGGCAGCGGTGCGCGTCGCCGTGATGTCGCCTTGGATGTGCGCCTCGTACGTCGCCGACCCGTGCGCCTTCATCTGGTTGGCCACGTCGATAAAGTGGTGCGAAAAGTCAATTCCAATGACCTAGGCGTAGTCGCAGAGATGATGCCACCGGCGACTTGAAAATGACGCAAGAGTACCTCGTCAAACGTGCGGCTGAGCTCGAACGAGGACCGTCCGACAGAGCAGCCGACTTCAAGCGCGCGGTGGCGCATCTCGGGGCGCGTGAGCGGAATTGTATCAGCCACGGTGCGATGGAGGAAGGCCAGCGCGTCCTTGGGAGCGAACGGGTACGGGGCGACCTCGTCGGGCTGGCCTGTGCAAGCGTCAGAAACGAGGTCAGATCTTAGTCTTGCTATACCATAGTGGAACTGGAGGTACTCCATGGCAGCGCGCTCCGACTCATAGACTATCGAGCCGCTCGCGGTCGTGCTGCGGGTCGACGCGTGGCGCAGGCCACTGGCAGCGGTCTTGAGCATCGTGTGAAATGCGAGAATGAGGAAGATCCTGCGGCAGATCGAAAATCCCGCGCGTTTTATTGGTCAAAATCCCATCAAATTACACGCAGAGGGAAAACCTTCATGCGAATTCATCGGAACTCAGAGCATGCGAGCGTCAGTGCCTGTTGAAGCGGCCGTTGGAGCCCACAGACCCGCCAAATAGCGTCGCAAAAGGCGCTTCGCAGCGCTCCTGTGTGTGGCTTACGACCACGACGATGGCCAGCATCGGCGTCGAAACCGTGACACGATACAGTGTTTCAAACAGTGTTTCGTATCAGCGTGCAATCCTGCTTTTCAATGTGGCACATGCCACTTTGTAGCTGGAGTGCTGTAACGCAACGATCCGGAAACAATCCGGCGCAGTACAACGGCGTCGGCCGGTGCATGCAGCATAGTAGCGCCGGGACGCTCGTCGCGGGGGCTACATGACGCACAACCCTTTGTTTGACCGCGTGCAGTCGGTCCGGTCGGCGCTCGCCTTCGACCGCAAGCGCTATGCGCCTATGCGACCGGCGCCCACTGGCGTCTGCAGCCGCCAACGCGCCGTCGCGATCTATGCTGGCCGCGTCGCCCGCGAGGTGTGTCGGCGCGGCTGCCGGGCGCTTGGCCGCGGCTTCTCGTCGAGCATCGTCTGCCTCCATCATGGCTATACGCGCTGCTTTAGCCGCGTCAACCCGGTAGCGGGTAGTAGCGACGAGACCTCCACACGTCGCCGCGTCACGCCGCCCGTAGCCATCTTCTTGTGCCTTATCCTCTTCACCATCGTGCGCTTTGTCTTGTCCATGCCTCAAATGTACTATGCGCGGACACAGCATGCGCCTCGGGTGCACACGGACGAAGCCAGCATTCGGTCCAAGATCCTATTGAACCACGCGCCGGGGCACGACGTCGTCAAGGCCAAATTGCGCTGGCAAGACTTTGAGCCCGACGATACGTCCACCTCGTGCAAACACACGACCGAGACGACGGCGTTCGTCACCGACGCCCGCGGCGCCACATGTAGCCGCGAGGCCTTGCTGCCAACGGGGTGCTGCCCGATAGCGGCCAGCGCCTTTAGCTGTACATCCTGCAGCGCCGCCGCACCCCACTGCTGCAGCGCGTACGAGCGCTGCGTATCGTGCTGCATGGGCCCCGACCACGTACGCCATGCATGTCTCGAAGCAGCTTGGAGCAGTAGAAATATGTTGTGTAGCGCGAGATGGTGCGGCATTTCCTGCTGCATGCCACTCCAGCCCACCCCGTGTACGGCGCGCCGCACCATCTGAGCGTCTTTGGCTTCTGCGCCTTTCGCTGCCGGTCGTCGTCGGCCAGTGTCCAGCACCAAAACTCGTACCGCAGCAGTAGGAAACACTGCTACGGGCTTCACCGACCCACGAAGGAGCTCTCGGTCGTCAATAGCGATGGCACAGCCAACAAGTCGGTCGCATTCGATGCCAACCTGCCGTGCGTCTGGACTTGATATACTATACTGGTATGGCTCACGAATGATCCACATAGACGACCACCCACGGGGCCGCTCGAGTGGGACCCCTTCTACGTTCCGCCCGCGGCCAAGTCAGTCCACTAAGTTCTCTAAGTTTATTCCGATCCATGGATCTTGGGCCGTGCAAGGAACCGTCGCGGCTTTATTTAGTCGACGCGGCGGCTATCAATAGGCCGCTGCTGTGTCAGTTGGAATAACGAAGGGGGCGCGTCACAGCGCTAACGCGTCCGTACAGCGCGATTCCGTCTTCGATGAATATAACCGCGCGCTCGGGGCCATCGCTCGTGACACCGCTCTCGGTCGAGGTCCCCATCAACCTCGCGACGGCCAAGCGCCCCTCGAAAGACGACGACGCTGCAGCAAGCAACCCCGGCGCCGACGAAGATGCTGGTAGCACGTCGCGTCTCCCTACGTACTCTCTCACGACCACTTGCGCAGACTATTGGAAGAAAACCTTTCAAGACCGCGTGCCCCAGCATGGCGCGGTGACGTCCAACTGGCGGGAGCCGTCGCCGTCCGAGTTTCGCGTCCGCAGTAAAAAGTACCTCACCGACAGTGTCAAGGAGGCCGTGGACCATCCCAGTACGTACACATCTGTCATCTTCGCCACGGTCTCATGACGAGGCGCAGAGTGCGACCTCGTCTGGGTCGACGTGTTTCAGGGCAAGAAAGAGGCGTTCTTGCATGCCGCCGCGCGCCGCGACGGCGTCGTGTCCCACTTCCACGCGCTGTACCCGGCAAATGAGCTCTTTGTCCTCAACATCATTCTGCCCGGGAAGCCTGAGGTGACGTACGTCAACTACTTTGCGCTGCGGACGCCCGTGACCGAGACGGAGGACTCGGCGTTTGGTCGGCTCTGGCGGGCGTTCCTCGACGGCTCGGATGAGTTTCGCAACGCGCGGCTCAAGCTCATTCCGCGCATCGTGCACGGTCCGTGGATGGTGCGCAAGGCCGTGGGCTCCAAGCCCTTCATTTTGGCGAAAGCGCTGCCGATCCAGTGGTTCCGCGGCAAGCACTACCTCGAGGCCGTCGTCGACGTGAGCTCGGATGCCGTCGCGCGCAAGGTCACGTCCATGTGCCGCATGTGCGTCTCGTCGCTCACCGTCGACATTGGGCTCGTGCTCGAGGGTCAAAAGGAGACGAGCTCCCGGAAGCGATGCTGGGCTGCGTCCAGTACGACCGACTTGACATGGCCAACGCGACGCCGATCTAAGCCGTTGTTGACATTTATAGAGTATTCTTCTTTTGGTCGTCCACACCGAGATTTTCTGACGTGGCAGACGCACGGGCCAGCAAAAACCTCTTATTCAAAATACATATCTATACGATGTGGGGGGTTATGTTGGCCTATGCATGAATGGGAGGGCAGTTGAGCTTAGAGGACCCAGTGCCGGACTTGCGCGCTTCACTCACTGCGACCGATTCGAGTTACGACGTCGCCATGTAGTTGATCATCGGCTAAATTCTGTACAGAGGTCATGGTGTGCGAGGAGGGTCCGACCGCAATGAACAGAAGTCTCAACCAGCCGAGTCACGATGCTAGCTCGGCGCATTCGACACCATGTACCGTGACCATCTTGAACTGAACCTCTCGTCTCTGCGGCCTCGATGGCCCACTACTAGTATCATTCATCAAACACAGTGTCCTCCACGTATCTCGCTCCATCGTGCAGAAGGTCTAGTTTGTGATAGTCAAGTAGATAGATTAAAAAGATAGTAAATTCAATAACATCCATTGCGTGTAGCACAGGTACAGAGAGACGACGCTACTTAGAGGTTCATTTGGAAGCGCTGGCCGGCGTTCTGAACGTCGCACGAGAGGAGGTAGACGTTGCCGTTGGAGGCGTCGCTCGAGAGGCAGAGGCCGAGCTTACGCGCGTGCATGATCTGGCCCGTCTTGTCGTTGTACTGCCACTGCTGGTTGTCGTTGGTCGCGTCGCAGTTGTAGACGTGGACACCGCCATAGTCCTTGAACTCCCACGCATCGAGGCAGCTGTTCTGGTTGGCCTTGTTCTTGATCGTCTGGAGCATCGGGTCGTAGTACCAGAGCTGCGTCTCGGGGATCGCGCCCGCCATCGGCGCCGAGCGGACGCTCAACGCGCCATAGTACTCTGTGAGCTTGAGGTCCGAGCCAGCGACCGCAATGCGAAGCTCCTGCGAGCCCATGTCGACCTTCTTGAGCCCGTTGTTGTTCGAGCACGAAGTCAGCTTAAGGCTCTTGGTGAGGCAGAGGTCGCCGTTCTGGGCACCGTTGCCGTTGAAGCTCCAGCGCTGGCTGGCCTTGGCAGCGTCGCAGCGCGCGACCGAGACAAACTGGCCCTTGCCGTTACCTTGGAGGCACGCGTTCGTGGAGCGCGACTTGAGCCAGCCCGAGCCTGCCTGGTCGTAGAACCAGATCTCATTGTCGAGGCGGTCAGTGAGGCCCTTGGCGGGCGCCGAGATCGAGAGCTTGCCAAACGTCTCGCCCTGCTTGTAGCTGCCGGCCTTGAGCACGCTCGCGTCGCTGTGGAGGCGAACAGCCGTCGGCGCCGCGCCGACCGTGAGCGACGCAATGAGCGGCTTCATCGTGCGCGTGTTGTCAAAGAGGCCGAAATGGCGTTCGATCTCGGGGTCGCGGTTGCCGTCAAAGGACGAGAAGTAGTAGTAGTTGACGTTCTGCTGCTCCGCAAACGAGATGAACTCCTTCGTGTACAGCGCTTGCGCCTCAGGCGACGTCTCGGCGACGACGTCCGCCGTGCCGCCCGTGGCCCACCCCGTCTCCGAGAGCACGACAGGCTTGCCGAGCGCGCGCGCCGAGTTCCAAATGCCGTGGAAGTCGTTGTACAAGGTCGGGACGCCTTCGGCCGCGGTCTTGTTCTGCCACATGGCAAACGCGTTGACCGAGACGACGTCCGTGTTGGCGAAGAGCTCGGGGAAGTACTTGTACGAGTCCATGATGTCGGCGATGACGACCGGGAAGAAGAGGTTCTTGCTGCGAAGGTACGCCTTGACATCCTTGTAGTGCTGGATGATGCGGTTGATCGGGCCCTTGTCGGCAAAGTCGTGCTGGCCCTGGATGTAGTAGCGGTAGATGGCCTCGGACGCGACTTGAATGCCGACGACGTTGTTGTTGTTGACCATGCCCTTCTCGACGAGGTTCTTGAGGCGCTGGAACTCGCCATCAAACGAGTCGATCTTGGCGTCGGCCTCGGACCAGATGCCGAGCCAGATCTTCATGTTGCGCCAGCCCGCATGCCAGTAGAGGCGCGTCATGCAGCCTTCGTCCATCGAGTACATGCGCACGGTGTGCGTGATGTCCTTGAGCTTGTCGAGGTCGAGCGGCATGTTGGTGTCGTCGGGGCACGACGCGTAGTTGAGCGCGTAGAGCTGGCGGTCGAGGGCCATGACGGACGTGGCCGCGGCCGCAAGCGACGCGAGGATCGAGGTAATGCGCATCGTGGTCGCAATTGGGGAATGACAGCATTGCGCGGTAGAGCTGAGGCAGAGCCAAACGCGTGCTGCGAAAGCACCTGCTGTGTGTCACATCGTTCGAACTCCGACTTTCTATGGGTTTGTCCCAAAATGGAGCTGGGCGAAACCTCGACGGCGACGTCGACGCGCTGCGTTGCGCACACCCGTCATCGACCATGGGAGAGACAGCGCCACGTAGAGGCGGCTCTCCCAGGAGGTACTCCATCATCTTGGCTCCATTTTGGCGCTATCGATTGGCCTGCCGGGCATAGGCGGCGAGATTGCGATCCCGATTGCACTGCAACCAGCTAATGCAACCTTGCAGGAGACGACTTCAACAGGAACGTCGCCGACTGAGAATCACAATGAAAATGATCCGGTGGTGGTCTCCGTCACTGTCTCCGTCTTCGGTGGCTAGGCACTGCCGACAGCGCTGGCCGACGGCAAAGCAAGTGTTATTACCTCTTCGCTGGAGATGCGGAGTACTAGTATCTACTATCACACGCAGCGGCGCTGTGCCACCCACGACTCACGACCCGTATGCAGGCATGCGTCACTGCAGGTCATGAACCTGCTCGAACCGACCTGCGTCCGATCTCACACCGCGCTGCGAGGAAGCTGCGATGCACCTGTGTCGGTGGTGCCAATGACCCAGCATGCTTGCACCATTACCTGACGATGCCTACGTAGTTGTTGGCTCAGCTTCATACGCAACGACTGCAGGAGCGGGGCGGCTTCAACAACAACAAGCTGCTGGTGCTACAAAAGCGTCGTTGGGATAAACTCGGGTTTTACACTCCGCTACTGTTCATCGGCGTCCTCGAAGAGCGGGTTGCGCGGGAGGCGGTCGCGCATCGGGACGTGCTCTTGGACGCGGTTCCACGGCAAGAACGTCTGAAGGAAGAGCAGGAGCGGGTTGGCGTCCGCCGGAAGGTTCCCGCCCACACGCGCCTGCTCCTCCTGGAGCTGCTGCTGGAGCTGCGCCATGGCCATCGGGTTGTTCTGGAGTTCTTCCAGCAGCGCCGGGTCGAGACCGTTCGGGTCCACCGCCATTTGCGGCGGCTGCAGCATAGGGTGGTCCGCCGGCAGCGTCGTCACATCGTCCGAGTAGTCTACCAGTCGCGTCAACACACCATGTCTAGAACGACGGTCCTACCTGGCGTGATGGCGCGGTAGTACTTTTGGAGCGGCGAGCTCTTGGGCCAGTCGCGCTCAAAGGTCGCGCGGTTGTAGCTGCTGCTCGCGCGCGCCGCACTCGTGAGGAGGAAGCTCTGCACGTCCTGCACCTTCCAGAGCGAGTGGTGGCGCAGCACGTAGATGTCGAGCACGTGCGCGAGGCCGCCATTGTCGTCGAGGTGCGGGCTGTTGGCGAAGACCGCGCTGCAGAGCACGTCCTGCCACGCCTCTATTCGCGTACTCAGTGCACATTCCAAATCATTTCTTAGGCGTACTGGACGTCGTCGAGATGCCGCACTTGTCGGTGAGCGGCTTGAGCACGCGCGGGTACTTCGCGAGGGCGCGGGCGAGCGCGTCCGTCGCATCTGCTTCGTTGCCGAGATGGTACCTACATTCGACGTGTATCAACTTGATAGTTCTGACGCGCCACGTAGCAATACATGGCGAGCGCCGCGGAGAACTGGAGGCCCGGGAGCGCGTCGACGGTCGCGGATGCCGGCTGCGTCGGCACGGCCGCCGACCCAGTGCGCACGACGACCTCGGTGTGGCTCGCATAGAGGTCCAGCACAAACTGGCACTGACGCGCCGCGAGAGCATAATAGTCGAGGCAAAGCAGCACGTGCATGGGGTCGCCCTTCGGGTCCATGCTCCAGATGAGCTTGGCAATCTCAAATGCGCTGCGCACACAGCCGCGCCGGCCCACCTACTTGATACGTTGGAAGTGTCGTGATACAAAGGGACCGCCGACTTGTTTCATGAGGAAAAAGAGCGCGCGAAAGTACGCGGCGTTGTCGCCGGCGTGGATGTCCATGCGGGCCGTGCCGTTCGCGACGTCGTACTGCTCGCCCCACGCGAGCTCGAGAAAGTAGACGCACCTACACTTGACATTGAGATTCGAATTGAGATTCGAAAACAAATACTTTTTGATGCAGTCGGCCGAGTGGTCCATTTGCCCGTGGTGCTGAAACACTTCGCTCATCTGGAGAAGCGCGTCGACGTGGTACGGGTGCTTGGCAAGGAAGTGGCCGATCGCGTTCGGGTCGTGCGTCGACTGCAGCACCTGGAACTGCTCCTGCATCTACAAACATCCCTTTGAGATTGAGTTTGGAGACTGCGAACGCCAGCAGGACGAACCTTCTTGTACGTGAGCGACCAGTCGACCTGGAAGTAGTCGCAGCCGAGGTCCCACGACGGACACGCCGGCTTGTCGACACGCGTCCAGCGGATGCCGCCGCCCACAAACGTCGGCGGGCGCGGCCACGTATCGTCCGGCGTCACGAGCACGACCTTCTTGGTCGATCGGCGGGCCGCGTTCCTATGGCATGTGTCACAAGGTGCGCTCGTCGTCGAGATGAGCGTACCGCGTGTTCTTGAGCGTCTCGCGCGCGCCCTTGACCTATGCGCACGGAGTTGCAGAGTCAGGTTGAGCCGCGCGCCATGTACCCCAAAGAGCCGCTTCATTTCCTTGTCCGCGTTGAGCGCACCGACGTTGACGGCGAAGAGCGCGTTGCGGTGGCGGACTTGGTCATGCGCAGGCTTGGCTTCATCCTCGTCGTCCTGCACCTGCTGCGACGCCAGCGCATCGAGAATGTCATCGACATCGTCGCTCGCGGTCGCTGCCTTGGCCCTACAAAAGGGCGCGTGTGAGAGGCCGCTCTACGTTCGAGTCGGACGTACTGGTTCTTCTTCTTCTTGGCCTTCTTCTTACTTTTGGTAGCAGGCGCGATCGCAACCTTGGGCGGCACGACAACGGGCGCCGCAACAGCCTCCATCTCGGCGTCCGAGTCGCTCTTGTCCGAGTCGTCGTCCGAGTCTTGGAGGAAGTGGAAGCCTGCCGAAGCCTTGGCCGGGGCGCCGCCGTCCGACTCGGAGTCGCTCTCTTCGTGCTGGACGGCCTGGTGCAGGCGACGGGCTTGTCTGGCCGACCTACAACAAGCTTGCGATGAGCCACCGCTGCCTTGCCTGCCAGCCTTGAGTTTGAGTTGTCGCCTGCTGCCAGGCTCATCCGGACAATAGTGCCGGATACGGTTCGCTGCGTTTCGCCCAATCGAATTCGGGCCGAACGCGATCTTGGGCTTTGTGTGCGCTTCAAGGCTAAGTGCTTATCTGCTGCAGCCAACGAAGGCAGCTTCGTCACGTCGTCGCGTCACCACACAGCGCATGGACCTTACATACGAGAAGCGTAGCAACGTCAAGTGCAAGCTCGTCCATCGCAAGGGATGACCAGATGCGCGATGGCCTTTCTGCACAGACGTGGGTTGCTTGTTGCAACAACAAACGTCTGCACTCATATCGACGGGCTGACTGTTATTGACGGGCTGCTGTGCTGAGCACAGGCTCATTTTTCCATTGCGCTCGACAGAAAACAACATGTTGTCGCCGAGCCAGCTCGCACTCTTGGTCCCTGTAGCGTCGTCGG